ATATAAAATAATGAGAAATTATATTTGACTTCAGTTGGATCATATTCACTCAAAATCAAGTGGAAAAAAAACTTTCAACGTCACTTGACAACATATTTAGGTATCTACTTTGACTTGCTTTAAAAATGTCAACAATTATTCTTTTACAGATTAGCTTATTGGTATTTACAGATTTGCAATGATGCCATTTTGTACAGTTTGTTTACTTTCTGATTCAACTGCTTGACATTTGAAGTGTGTTTGGTGAATGTAAAAACAGTTCCCATCAGCTTTTAGCCAAGATTATTAGCTTTCTTTCGATGCCAAACATGTCCAGGTTTAACTGACAGATCTTAAGTTAAAAAAGTTTAAATGAATAGAAAACAGAAAAAAGCTGTTTTGCATGGCATAGGGCTCAAGAGGTTAAAGAGAATTTACTTCCTTATTTGAAAGTGGCTTTCATCATGTTCAACAGAAAAATAACTACTGTTCTCTGTGTGTGCTACATCTTCCGTTTGAAATGTATTTTGAGTGCTTTTTCTGGGTGTGTATGTTGCGCTTGCAGGTTGTGATTGGAGACAAAGTAGTCCTTAACCCTGTAAACGCAGGGCAGCCTCTTCATGCCAGCAGTCACCAGCTAGTCGATAACCCAGGATGTAACGAGGTACACCTGTTTCTGCCCTTACGGGCCTCTAAAATAATGAGTTTATTAAAGTGGAACATTCAGACAAGTTTCAGGTTTTGCTCAGATTTTCTSTTTTTTTCAGGTTAATTCTGTCAACTGCAACACAAGTTGGAAAGTTGTTCTCTTCATGAAATGGAGCGACAACAAGGAAACGATACTCAAAGGGGTTGGTGTTTTCACAAGCATTTAAACCGCACTGATTATACCTACATATTAGTATTGTTAAATGTGCTGTTTAAAAAGAAAAATGACCATTTATTTGCTGCATTAAAATGCTGACCAGTGCATTACATTTGTTTATGTTTATTGGTTTYGATGTGATTGCAGGGCGATGTCGTTCGGTTGTTCCACGCGGAGCAGGAGAAGTTTCTTACCTGTGACGATCACCGGAAGAAGCAGTATGTTTTTCTCCGAACCACCGGCCGACAGTCTGCAACGTCAGCCACAAGCAGCAAAGCACTGTGGGAAGTGGAGGTTTGTACAACATGTTCTCCAAAGATAAACCTGAATGTATTTTATTTTTTGTGTGTGTGTGTGTGTGTGTGTGTGTGTGTGTGTGTGTGTGTGTGTGTGTGT